GCGGGTCTGCGGTGCGTGGCCTGGGCCAGGGTGAGGTGTCATGAAGCGACTGCATAAGAGATGTGAGTGAGGCAGGCGGCTGGCGGCGGCATAGCAGCCTCTGGGGATGGGCTGAGAGGACGGGTGGCCATCATGGATGTGACTTTGAGTGTCATGCCTATTAAGCACTAAAACCCCATCGAGTCGTGTAGGCAAAGACAATGCATCCACCGGAAGGGCAAGTCCAACTCTGCTTCTGAACAGTTGCAAATTTTCACATGAATGCTCACATTATTTTTGTGCAAAAAACAAACAACAACAAAAAACCTGTGTACAAAACAGTTTACGCTGCTCGTGAAGAATGATTTCATATGACTTTTAGGAAAAGTGTAGAGCACACTTGAAAGTTGGGAAGATCTGTCTTCAATTCATTAACGTTGCCATGTTTTCTGGTAAAGGCTCTGCCTTTTATAATCAAATCAAAAGGACTGACAGAACAAACGCGCTCTATTCTCAAGTGCACAGTAGAGGGAGAAGGAAAGAAATGCCAATTTGGCCCAAGAGTTGGGTGAAAACATCTTTTTTTTTTTTTTAATAAAATCGATGGCAGACATCAGAAGCAGAGGCCTCCAGCACCGGCCAACCTGCAGGGACCTGGCACTCGGAACCGAACCCGAGGTTCTGTGCCCTCAGGAAATCAATCGTAAGGTCACTTCACAAACAGGTTCTTCATCCTCTTACAGGAAACACCAGCTCCTATGCAGGCGCGCCGCCTGCACCCGCCCGACTTACCTCCAAACTAACTCTGAATGTCTCCTCCGCAAAGGACAGCACTGGTGGGGTCGCTGTCACAGGGCCCTGCCCTGAGTAGGTCTCGTGAGCCTCCGGCCTGAGGGGTCCTGGGTTATTTCCTATGGAGAACCTCCTCTTGCAGGGCTGCTGCAGTAACAGGCCGGGCATTGGTGACACTTGGTGAGGTTTTCAGCCCCCGGTCTTGACCACCAACACGCCCTGGTCAGAAACGCATAAGCAAAATAGAGTCTTTGCACTGAGCTCACTCCTGAATGTTTGTGGGTGCTTTGCGGTGACTTATGAGATATGGGTGAGTTGGTCACATGCTAGAAACTGGCTCTCGGTGAATAAAAATACACCATTCTGGCAAAGAGATGAGAACATACTACAGAGGTATTATGGAATATGCTGCCTGCACTATAAATACTGAGCAATGCCACAGCACCTGCAACAATATATGGCAATTAAAGTGGCCATGAGAGTCCTGGTGTGGCTCTCTACCATGTTTCACTGGGGAAGGGCAGGGCCGGGACGGGAGGGAGGGCAGAGACAGGAAGGAAGATTTCTGTCCACCCAGGCAGGACTCGCTTTGGGCATTGGCACAGCTTATGTAGTGTCTTGTAAAAGAAATTAAAATGACTATCTTTAAAACATTTGTTCCTTTTTAGAAAAAAGTTTCCATGCTCTTTCTTCTCTCTTAAAGATTCACAAGTATATGAAAAATGAAAGAAAAAAATTTTTCCGGGAAATTTGTTAAGACTGAATGAGTGGGGCTCAGTACCCATAGCTCTGGCAAATGGCTGGACAGCAAGCCTTCCTGTGGGCTGTGCGGTCTCCGTCAACTAAAGTCTGAAAAGCAAAAGCTATTAATATTTTTCTGGGGGAAATCCTTACTTTCAACCATCAACAATTTTCAGGGCTCTGATTTTAATTAACAAGATATGTCATGTGAACACTTATGTAGGTTTTTACAAAAACTCCCATTTTTGAGAAATTTCTAACTAAAAAGAAAAGTTATAATTTTAACAAGAGAACTGCTACCTCTTCTAACTAATTCCCTTTATGAAAACAAAAAATATAATAACCTATAACCCATCACAGCTGTTTGGCTAGAATTACCAATTACCTTCAAGGCCTTAGAGATACTTTTCAGATTTTTACAAGTCTGTGTAGTAAATCTTTAAACCAAGTTTCTTTAAGGGGATTGATCAGATTTATACCCTTTTAGGAATATAATGACGTATTCTTCTAGCCAAGGTTTTATATAACTGGAGGAAAACAAGAGACAAGGATTAAACATAGAATACAATAAAAAAACGATGGTTGGTTAAAAGTTACTGACATTAAGTTTTGAAACCTGCTTTTCGCTTGGATGTGAATATAGGTGTGGTACCTTTATGGGAATCCACATCAAACAAATAAGAAGGCCTTGAGACAAAAATCCAGAAGGTTGTAGTCTTTCCCTGTCCCAACTCTAACTGCTCCTGAACTGCTGGGGAGGACCTGCTGGTTTTCAGACAGTTGCAAGGTTCCCAGTTGTGTGACTCCCAGCCACTCTGCAAGCCAAGTAAATAAAGGAGTGCAGAGGTGACAGCACTTTAGATGACCTGATTATGTGGGATCGATAGGAAATGCTCAGCAGCTAATAAAGCCATCACTTAAGTAGGGTGAGCACTACGTGGAGGAGGGAGAGCCTGAGAGAACAAGGTGCCCACTGGCCTGATGTGGACAACAGCTAAGAAGGGCGGTGAAGTTACCAATACACGCCCACACCAGCCCTGCACAGACGCTGCACGGGTGCCACTGCTCACTGTCTTTCTTCTTCTTTGAACAGAGGAGTGTGCCTCCCTCATCCTCACCTGCCTCTTTTGCCAGTTTTGGGATTGTCTCCTGATGCTCCCGGACACGTGTGAGACGGTGTGCACCAACGCGTGCTGCCCCTCCTACCGGTACCACCACACCTCGGACGAAAGCCACTCCCGGAACGACTGCAACTGCAACTGTGACATGGACTGCAGCCTGTTTGAATCTTGTCACGAGACCGGCGAGTGTCTGGAGCTGGCCATGGAGATTTCAGAGATCTGTTACCGCTAGGCCGGGGGGCTGCCCCAGAGCCGCTGCAGGACGCCCGATCCCAGCTGGAGGAAGGGCTGTGTGCATTTCTGAACGCTGCGGCCGTTTGCTCTGCACCTGCCTGGGAAAGCAGTAGTGTCACTCAAAGGTCTTCTTCCAAATTTCACAACCGCAGGGCTCGCTGAAAAATAAGATGTTGATCACATGTGATGAACAAGTCCTAAGTACCTCTTACATGCCATGGGCAACAGATGTTTCCCAACAACCATAGCATGTTGAAGCCCACTGTGCTAGTGCACTCGCTGGCTTGCCGCATGAATTTGACTTCATTCACAGATTCAGGACAAATTAGTTCGTTCTTTATCATTGACATATATTAGCTCATCTTTCTAATGGACTCATGCATAAACATTATACATTGTTGGTTATTATTAATAATGTATTGCATAACATCATTTTTAATTAAAAATTTATTTATACGATCTCTTAAAATTCACTTATACGTACAGTTTAGGTAGGAAAGGGAATTAAATAAATTAGAAACCATGTTCATGTAATTACAACAGATTCTTTAAGACACCTCCAGTGAATTTCGAATATGATGTACTTTGAGGGACCCTATAATTCTAGGCCATGTTACTCCATGTCTATGACCATGACATAGCCAGTTATGCATGTTCTTAATTTGTTGTGAAAAGGCTCTTCTTTATCTAATGAGCAAAATGGGAATTATGTGCAAGTTTCAAGATAATCAATTCCTCGTTTTCCTCGTTTCTGTTTGTCAGGTACCGTAGGCGACAGGATATCAAAACAGAATCAGTTCGCTTTGCTGAACCGCCATTTGTGCAGACACCGAGGGACTACCGGGAGGTCTCGCTCAGCGTTTCCTAACTCAGCATGTGCTTTCAAAACCATCGCTTTTTCTCCTGATGATGTTTAAAGTAATAAAGAATTACATTGAGCGCCTCCTCAAACTTACAAATCTCCAAAGAAGATTTCATGTGGCCCCTGCTGGTGTGGCTCAGCTGGTTGGGTGCCCGCTGCACTGAAAGGTTTCCGTTCAATTCCTGGCCTGGCACGTGCTCAGGTTTCTGCTGGGGCCCCGGTCGGTCCCGGTAAGGGGCGTGCAGGAGGCAGCTCTTATGTGCTCTCACATTGATGTTTCTTTCTCTCCCGCTCCCTGCCTCTTTCTCTAAAATATCCATTAAAAATCTTTTATAAATTAGAAGGTACTTTTCAACTCAACCAAATTATTTTGGGGGAAAAACACATCTAGGCTGAAGTTACATTGGACTCGTCCTATTTCCTGTCGGCATGACATGCTCATTCCTGTGTTCTTATATGTCCCGGGGAGATACTGCAATGTATTTATTGAATATAAAAAGCACAATGTATCAATGACCAAACAAAGACGGCAAGAGTGAGGTGGAGAGTCAAGGGAACTTTTTGCAATCTAGGCAAACAGCAAAAACTTCAAAGGACCTGCTTTTGCTTGACTAGGTAATTTCAAGCAAAAGCAACATTTATTTGGTTTCTGTAGTACATTGACACATTTTTCTACTCTGCAGTAAATTCCCCCAAACACTGAAAACTCTTCATCTTTAAGAAGTGTTTCTAGGCCGCCTCTGGGAAGGGGCCGCTGGCTCTCGTCTTGTTTCCGCAGCACCCGTGGTTCCTGCTGCCCGGCCGGGGTGCGCTCAGAGCTGCATGGAGGCCGAACCGGTGCTGCTTTCAGAAGCTGGGACACCGCTCCGCTCCGCGCACAGGAGGCGCAGATCGGTGTGGGGAGAGGAGTGGATTCTGACACTAGGAATGGCACATTCTTATCATAGATCCTCACTTTTCACAAGAGGAAAGAGAGGCCCCAATAACTGACTCACCCAAGACTATGCAGTGTGAGCGGCAGTGGCAGGGACCTAACTGGTGTCTAACCTTCTAACCCCCTGCGCCCTCCACAGCTCCCGCTGTCCAGGCCTGCAGTACGGCCGCTCCAACTTCCACGGGCTGGCGCCTCAACAGCTGCTCCCTTAGTGCTTGCTCCCCAGCTCTCCTGGCCCCCAGCCAAGTACCCTCCCCGCCGCCCGCACCCCCCGCCCGCCATGGTCCAGTCACTGAGAGCAGAAGCCCCTGCCCTGGGGAGGTCTTGGGGATCCTGTGCCAATAACGTGGTCCTTGGAGTCACTGATCAGGTCATGCCGCGTTGTTGCTAAGTAGTTCGACCATCATCCCCTTATTCTCTCCAGACCCTCAGATCGCACTAAGCTTATGCATTTCAAATGCGAATTGAATGCTTGTCAATTAGAGACATAAAAATCACCAGGTCTTACTTTATGATGTGGTCAGAATACCACGAGCTTTCTGTGGCCTCTTCCCGAGGCCTGTTCACTTGTTCCTGCTTTTCAGAGCCCACTGCGCTGGGGCAGGGGCTGGTTATACAAGGTGTGCCGTTTCTTCTCTTTCTAACCAATAATAAAACATTATCCTTTTTGCAAACATGAATGGCTTTTTCAATTGCATTCTTACACAATAAAACATACACGGCTGGGAAATGCAATTGCAGAGGTAAGACGGATGAAAAAGAAATGTGGTTATTGATTAAATATAAATATCCGAATCTGAGAAGGATCCGAGTTTTTCCACAATGATGAAGGCCTGTGATTACAAATAAAGATAATGTTATTCTTTAAGGAGGGTTTCTTAGAGAAAGAGTGTTCCTATTTAAGGAAAACACTTGATAAGAGAGATTTGAGAAGATACAACCGTTATAAAGAATTGAGAACAGAGATTTCCCACAGCAATATGACCAGGTAGTACATTGTCTTTGCTTTGCTCAGTGGGTTTGTATAAAACTGTGCTTCTCTAAAAGCCTACAAAATATGGGAAGCAATGAGGAAACCAGTGGTGTTTCACTTGCTAATAACATTTTCCCACCACGTAAGCTGATAGGCCTACAAAATTAATTATCAATGCTGGACATTCAAGGTTAATAAAGCAAATGCCACTTCAGTTTTCTCTAAGGGAGTATGAAAGCATATTGAAGTAGAGAAACTTTACAAAAAGGAAATACCACATAAAGGCACAGCAGCATTTTTTTCAAGGATAAATTTGCAGGAGGAATGCTAGAACAGAATTCATGATCCAATTCCTGAAGTTTCTCCTTCTACAAAATGGAGCAAAAGTACACTTTAGTAAGGTGGTTTGACTGGAAGAGTTTTGCCCATTAAATGCTAAATTTAACCCAGACTATTCACACGGATGATCTCTGATGAAATGCAAGTACTTGGCTTATGGTATATGGAGTATTCTTTATATATAGATATAGGTATAGATATAGATATAGATATAGATATAGATATAGATATAGGTATAGATATATATTGATTTCAGAGTGGAAGGGCGAGGGAGAGAGATAGAAACATCAATGATGAAAGAGATTCATTGATCAGCTGCCTCCTGCACACCCCTATTGGGAATCAAGCCCATAACCTGGGCATGTGCCCTGACCAGGAATGGAGCCTGGGACCTTCTGGTTCATAGGTCTATGCTCAACCACTGAGCCACACCGGCCAGGCCTGGGTATTCTTTGAAGAAGATGTCTGAGTTAAACCTAAACAGTTGTCATAGTTAGCCTCATGTGAGCTGTGCAGAAAGTCAACGTGAGGAGAGGATGATTTCCTAGTGATTATAATCCACATGGGATTATTGGGCTCCTCTACACAGGTGTAGACAGCTCCTAGCATTACTGCGAAGGAGCCCAGAATGTTGGAGGAGGCGGGAATGCAGGTGGGGCAGGACCTGTATCGTGTTTGGATAAAAGGCCCACCTTCTGGTCGACCATCATGACAGGCTTCACAATCCTGCTTTACCTCTCAAGCTGTGGTTCCCAGTTAGAGGTGATTTTGCCTCCCCCAGGGGACAACTGTTAATGTCTGGAAACATATTTGGTTGTCACAGTGGAGAGGGGACAGGTGCTACTGGCATCCAGTGAGTTGGAGCCAGGAATGCAACAAAACAGCCTTCAGCACACAAGACAACTTCCCATATCAAAGAAGCATCCAGCCAAATGTCCATAATGCCAAGGCTGCCAACCGACTCTATCAGTCTTCAGACCTATATGAAATGCACCTTAAAAAACTGCTGGAAATGGGGTTGCCAGGTAAATTACAGAATGTCCAGTTAGATTTGAATTTTAAATAAGCCACGAATAATATCTATATATATTAAAAAGGCTAATATGCAAAGTGTCCCCGCAGGAGTTTGACTGGGAGACTGCGAGTTCTATCACTCACTATGATGTGCGCTGACCACCAGGCGGCGGCACGGAAAGAAGGGAGGCCCAGGCCGGCAGCTAGAAGGCCCCAATCGACCCTGGTCACCAGCCAGGCCTAGAGACCCTACCTGAGCACGGATTTCATGCACCAGGCCTCTAGTTTTAGTATATTTATATCCCAAATATGATGTGTGACATTATATTATAAAAATGATGCCTCGCCTGTCTGAAATTCAAGCTTAGCTGGCATCCTGTATTTGTTTGTTAAACCTTGCAGCTCTGGGTCAGAAGCCTCCACGTCTGAGGGGGCCTACCGAAGTGATGATTTCCCTCCCCTCCCTGGCTCCAAGGCAGGACCAGCTGCTTCCCGCTTTGGTCAGAGGCCAGGACATACGTTGGGCCACGGTTGACAATGAGGGAAAGGGAGCCTGGCTAGAAGATCAGCTCCAAAGCAGGACTCTGGTATTTCCCTCGGCCAGGTTTACAGAGGGCCTACTGCCCTACTGCCTTGACCTGCACTGGCCCTGCCTCAGTTTCTCTGCTTCACATCTTCCACTGGCAACCGAGGAGGCACCTCAGCCAAGTGTCTTGATTCAAGAGGTTGGAAGCAGAAGTTCTCACTTAAGCCTTGAGATGGGAACCACATTTTCTAAATCAGTCTTGGCCAGAAAGACTCATCTCGAGAGGTGCCCCAGAGCCCCTCCTGTGCCTGGCATCCGGCCAGCGCCTCATCCACATTCCGAAGGAGGTTCCAGAAGCAGGAATTGTTTTTAATCAGTCCACAACTCTACAGCCGAGCAAATGCATTCTGATACTTAGAACTTTTATCTCAAATGCTCTGCAGAAATCAAGGTCACAGTAACCTCTTTTATGGTTTGTTGTTTCTCAAATGTACTTAGAGTGAATTTACAAAGCCGCAGCTTGTTTTGTGGGTACAGAGCTTTCGCGAGGTTCAGCACTCTCTGACATCCTCTTTGTTTCCTCTTTCAGCACTTTCTGCCTATGGGTCCTCATTTAATATCATTTCCCGTAAATTTCAAAAAATTAAATAGAAAAGAATATTGAACAAGAGTCCCCGGATAGCTAAGCTCCTCATCATTTGTAATGTGGGCTCTTCAGAAAGCTGCATTAATGTTTCAAATCACTGCTGCACAGCTTTGCAGTACAAATGCTGGTCCCCACAATGGGCCAGGGTGGCCAGAAGGTAAGATGGAGCCAAGGCTATCACTTTGTCATTGTCACAATCAATCAATTGCCAATGTGGGCATGGCAGTAAACCACCGAGCTCCAGTGAGTTTGTGGAACTACCGGGGAGGGGAGGTGAAGACGGGTTCTAACATGCTGAAGGGCCTCAGCAGACCCAGAGACCTCGTGAAGTTATCTTTTAGCCAACTTTTTTGATGACTCTCATTCCAAGCCTGAATTCATAGCTTTGATCTCCTAGTAACAGTTTTACAATATCATATTAGCCATGTA